GAGTATGGTGAGATTCATGGCCCACGTATTCGAAGAAATATCTTCCCTTTCTCATGTTGTGATGTAAGCGTCGGTGCTTCGTCTATGGAAAGATATAGTTAGCCACGAAGGTATAATATGCTAGCTTTCAGTTAAACTCTTTGGGTGAAGCTTAGAACATTTATTCCCAGTGTCAACTCACTCTTTGCCAGCATTGTGACCATTCCGCGAAATGGAACTACTTTGGTGAATTTTGGTAAAAAGAAAGTTTCCTGAAGGCTCGGAATGGCTAAGTGAACCGAAGTTATTTCTAGATATTCGAAGGCTTTCGAGGCCATTTCTCTATATTCTACCTCATTTAGTCTAGTTCAACGTATTATCTTTGTTGGACAAACGTTGAGGACATCCACTACGTATGTTGTTTTAATACGTGATTCGTCCATTATTCTAAACGCCCTTCATATCGTGTCAAACTAGAAAGTTTTGACCAGCGAGCATAGTGGTGCTATGAAACATGGGAGCGGGTTCGACCCACTACGCCGAGGTTAAAGGAAAATCGTTTTTTAAAATATTCATCGAAATATTCCTCATAACATAATCAAATAATGTTTAGGACAAGCATGCGGATGTCCACCGATCAATCCAATGTGCCCACCTCAGCCTAAGTGTCCTATGGGCGGTGTTGTCACTCATCATGCTCAGCCAATTCCTGTGCCTGATGAGCTAGAGATGGTACATATTGGAACAACTTTAGTATATTTTATATTTTCAAAAGTTAACTCATCTACGATTTTCAAAATAGACACTACCAATACTTATGAATCAAAGAGAAGTCCTCAGCTTTAAGAACAACATTTATGAGTATCACAAACTTTCAAAGAATGCTTAAATGACAGTTCAGCCCGTTTCAAGGGTTACGTGCACGGTTTGCTTCACGCTGTTATCAGTACAGGTGGTGAAGTCCTTACCCACATACCTAATAACAAAGTCTTTTTGAAAAACTATTTCCTTTAAGAAGTATTCCTCTTGACTGTTGATGTAGGGCAGAATAGGACAAGGCACATCCGTCCCTTGTACAAGGTAGGATTCCAATCAATCTCATTAATAGGTGAGAACACAGACCTGAAAAATTCGCGCTATTTTGCGAATTGACCACCTTATATTTTCCGTAACATTGTAAAACTGGAATGAATTCGATTCTTAATGCAATGGATCTTTCACTTATAGCGAGCTGCTGCATTTGGTGTGCCCATAGGACAGCGTCAACCTTCACCTTCGAATCTGGAACAATTCGAAAAACTCGTTGATCGTCAAGAAGCTGTTAACACGGCTGCAACGAAGCAGCGACCAACAAAGGTAAGGCTTATTCGAAACTAAACTGGGATTACCCGCTTAGGATTAAATTCGTTAGCCATACCAGAGTTGGAAAAAAATCCTAACCATCAAATGGCTGCGGTAACACTCCTTGGTTCATTTATTCAACAAAAAAATTGGTGGAACCTAAAAGCCATTAAAAATCTTATAACCACATTCAAGAATGCTCTGACATGCAATCTTCTTAGATAATAGTATATTTTAAAAATTTTCGAGCTATTTTGGCGACATTTTATGCTTCAGAGTAAGAACACCGAATTTGCTGTTGGTCTACGCAATAAGTCGGAAGTACGACGAGCTCCTGCAATTCACACCGGAAAATCGGTAGGTAGAAAAATCAACATAACTATGTATAAAAAGTAAACAGACGGCACTAAGAAAACCGTCCATCTAAAGAATTTATTCCAGTTCAGATTTTCGCCGTTTTCTCTAATCCCGCTTCTTAACACCAAGACAATAATCTCTACAGTCCGAAAATTTCGGCCATTTTACGCTTAACTAGCTTTCCAGTGACCTCTTCCATCTCGACTTTACTAAGGATGTTCCTAGCTGCACGGAGGGCATTCATTCCACAATTGGAACCACCTAAGAAGAAAAGGACTTTAACGTCCTCATTCGTGAGGTACCCAAAGAGTAAACGTCCACCGGAATTAGAAGTGAACAGCATCATTTAAAAAAACTGTGATGGTTTTGGTGTACTTCCATGGAGCGGAAATACTAGAGAGCAGTTCTCACGACAATTCACTATGATTTTACTAGAGTGCGCTAGAGTAGCTTGGTGATCACCCTATTCACAAGTGATATCCAACCAGGGGTTTTGACCATGTCTTACTTTCTTCCCCTTTATTCCAGTAATGTTGCAGATCTCTGAATCTAGAAGCCTTTGAAAGATTCCAATTTTTTGGTTCCATTAAGCTTTTTTCTATGCTTTATGTACAAAATTTACCGTAGCACAGTGGATTAATCCACCAGCAAGACATATTTCCTCGAACATGAAAGTGTGAACACAAAACGATGAAATAAGCTCTTAAGGAATTGTTTCGCCCTGCTTGGAATTTGAAATAATGCGAAAACATACCAGACACACTGACCGATGTATTCATCTAGAATTATGAGCCACTTTCGAGTAATTTTTTTGTCGGGCAAAATCTTTATCCGATATCTTCGCGGAAAACCAGTAGCTTCCCTAACAGGCAAATTGTAAGCTCCATGGTCAGAAGATAAAAAGTTTTAAAACTTGTAAACTAGTGTCAGACGTGTCTACATCCAATGCTAAAGACAATACTAAAAGTTCTTTTATAAAAAATGTATAAGCTATAGAAAATAAGAGAAAGATCTGATAGAATCATTATGACTCTGAAAAAGATAAAGGCGAGGAACGGTTAGCCGAAATAAGGTTTTCGTAACAACCTAATATAACACCGATAATCCAAAAGAAGCAAAAAATCGATGCCAGCGTTATCAGTTATAGGACGACAAAGGAGCGCTGCACCTAACACGATTTTTTGCATTTTCTTTTACATAACCCGTCATCACATGTACTGTGCGGATCATAGCACTTCTTGCATTCCTTTCGTCTCCCACTCATCCACCCTCCACAAAGATTTTCGAACATTTCGCGTGTTGTTACGGCTACTGCTTGAGAGTTTCGTCTTCTATGTGAATGTCGTAGAATGCTGCTCGAGTCGATTCTCCTGGCAATCTTGGAAACAGCTGAACTAAGGCGTTCCCAGATGGATTGGAGGAAAACGTTGGGGCGGGGATCGAACTGGTGCCTTTGCTTCCTGATCAACACCATCACTAACCATCGCGCTATCCGCTCCTCCACCTAGCACAGTAGTTTCTAAAATGTAATAAATACTATCTGTCATGTGTTCGTCAACAAAAATAACAAGAGACCCCTCCGACTTCATCGGTCGGCATCTAACGCACGAAGACTTCAGTAGTGGGTTAGAACCGAGGGTGTGGGTAGGTGCACATATTTTTGAGAAAGATATTGACGATTTGAGGTTTTTGTGAACATTTGCAGTTTCTTTTAAAAGAAAGCCTAAGACAAAGTCAGAAAACTTTTATAATTACTGCCTTATTAGAATGTTAACTTTTTATTTACTGCCTATTGCAATCCTGATGATGGGTGATTGCTGATGGCACTAATCGATAGAACTGGCTGAGAGACTGGCGAAATGAAGGACCTGCATGGTGTGGTGGAGAACGCGTTAGCCTCCATAAAGGGTAACAGTGGGTTCGTTCCCCACCGCGAACACCTGCGGTTCGCAGTTTTGCAAATATCTCAGCATCATTTTGGTTACTGCCCTATTGGCTCTTGAGAAATACTACAGAAAATTAGCGTTTTCAGGAGGAAGCCGAGAGTGCAACAGTTGCTGAAAAAAGTGGTTTTGACGAGAATCCTACAACGACATCATTACCAGAGGCGACTTCAAAATGCAACAGTCTGCCACTCAGAAAACTTATGCTCGAAGTGAGTGGGGCCACTGCTTTTGATCAAGTGTTATCACAAAATCTAGTAGTAAGCGTTTTAGGCTTTTAGGCTTTTCTCAAATACACTGCCAATTCATCTATGCCATCCCTTTTCCCCTGATCATCAAGTGACACTTGGCGTCTGTTAGATCCCGCTTTCTCAAGTCCGTAGTACGCGATATTAAGTCGGATATCATTGCAGAGAATTGTTAGGTAGGCATATCCCGTTTCTTAGATAGGAGAAGGTTGACTGTAGAAAAGATTGGAATTGAAATCGCGGAAAACCTTCTCATTAGCCTTTTGAAAGCAGTCCAATTATTTGCGCACAAGAAACATCCTGGTCTGGTGGTAAATTTCCAGGAAAAGTCGGAAATACTCTTCCAACTCCTTTGTCCACCACCATGGAGACGCCTCACGTCGCTCTAAACTTCACCGGCTAAAGCTCTGTCATTAACGAATAACTGAAAGTAGTGAGAACAGCATAGTGGGTAGCTTTGGCATGCGATAGAGATGAATGAAATTATAGTTTGCGGCGCATAATCGAGTCACACAATAACCAAGCAGATTGTACGTGAAACTGGTGGCATAAAAAGCATTTCCTCTGCTCTATCCTGACCAAACCTTCAAATTCTTCCTTCGCCTTTTTTAAAGACTGGAGACCCACACACCTTTGACGTAAAAGGTATAATTTGCTGTAACAACACATGTACTTTACCAATGTTGCAAGGCGCAGAATTCAACGACATTCACTGGGAGAATCGGAAATCCTCAAACCGGAGCCAAACTTATACAAGCTACCGAAGGCATTCCCAAACGGCAGATGCCAGAAAACAAATCCCATCGAAAAATTGGCATGATTCCCACAATATACTTGAAAACAAGTGATTCGAAGAAAAAAACTGCCAAGATAGCATTTGTACTTTTTGTGAAATGTAACGATTCAAGGTAATAAAAATGAATATTTTTGACATCCTAAATAAAGATAGGGCGCGTGTGGCAAGCACTTGGCAGCCCCTTGCAACACACACGTGAAATTGATTCCCGTTCCCAGGGCCCAACAAACCTTCCATCCCTCCAGAGTCGGCAAATTGGTACCAGGCTTGTCTGGTAGGATAGCAGCACTGGCCCGATACATCGGCAGGCCCTCCGCGAGTCATTGTGAAGGCCAGATGTGCATTCAATCACCTTCAAACGATGCCTAATGAAGTCGAATGCAAGGGGCATCCCTAAGAGATTGATCAACGCCGAAAGCTTTATCCTTAACTTTTAAATAAACATATCGAAAGCGAAACTAGAGTGAGACCCTACCATGGGATCAACGGAGCTGCCAATAGGTGGGCGAGAAAAATATGTATTCACGGTACATAAGGGAACATTTTTTTGCAAAACATGAAGCGTGAATCAGTCAGACAGGCAGACATGAATCAGCTCGAGGTCCACTTTTTCTTCTGAATGTCAATCCACTCTAGGCGTTCCGAATTTTTGATTTTATCGTGAACATTGTAAGTTTTCTTCCATCGATGAGGTTGTTGGAGATTCGTGAACATAGGTCCATAGAAGTAAACAGGACGGTGATATTCACTAATGCTAATCATTGTAAAGTTTTCGTATTATTACTGATTATTTGTGATTTCAAGGCAAACGGGAATAATCACTTCTCAATTTCAGAATATGTCATTGAGCTCGTCTGAGTCGAAGCGCAAGATCAACGCTGCAGCCGAGGCGAGATTCGGCGGCAACGTAGATGTTATCTGTTCTCGTGGCCACTTCTCATACGTCTTCTCATCAAACCTCTACTGTGAAGCAACAAAAGATCTCGTCACATGCATTGCATTCCGACAGGCTGCATCCGTTTAAGCCGCATCAAACACTTAAGTCTTGAGCTCCACTCAGGAGCTTAAACGGTGCGATTACTTCCTCTTCTATCACAAACACACTGCAATTTCTTTCAATATTTAACTTTGTGTATTCGTTAAGTACTGGGCATCGGCGCTTAAGAATTCAACTTTATTAATTTACCACTAATCGTTTTCGCGAATACCATCTGCTCCCATTGTGGACATCTGTGTTCAATCGTAATTAGTCTGTCGCCACATCCACAAAAAAGTAACACTCAAATAAATTCAGACGTAGATCGATTTTTATGTCACCTCAACATGAGCGACCAATATCCATTCCTTTCATTGATGATCTGATACGAGGTCGCTATCAAACTGTATTCTGCTGACGTTTCCGAGCCTTCCCTTTCTTCAAGGCCAAATTGATTCGGGTTCAAAGCCGTTCTTTCACATCTTTCCAGCTTTCCTCTGTAAATGGCTCAGGAGTTTAAACGTTAGCCGACCAAGGTTTGATACCAACCCAGTGTCAGCTTATCAGTGAAAAAGCTGGTAATAAGGTCACTCACTAGAACATCTTATTAGCAAGCTTACACTTAATGCACGCATAATGTATGGAAAGCTGTATTAGCCCTTTAACGTGCTATGAAGACTCCAGAATTCCGCTTATCATAGAAAAGTCTTCGCACCAAAAACAGTCCCCGCAATACGATTACTCCAAAGTTGGCCTACATTATGTCATTTTGATTAATGATGGAAATGAAAGATTTGAGGACAACGAATTTGTTGAAGATTGCTATCGTCTTTTGATACTTGTCCCAAAGTGCCTTAATTAAAATGATAGTGACAAATTTCTAACTGTCAGATAAATTCATTTAAAAAATCTGTTTTGCCGCCTAAGGCATTCACTAGCACTCATCTACCTTTATTTTATTTAATACTATGAAACTTTAGCACCTTTTGAATTTATTAGTTTAGTTTAAGCATAACTACGTTGCTATCGTTATGATTTTTACAGATGCACTTTGTAATAAATATCGCTTCGTGTTTTCATTTCGTATACCACTCTGAAGCCATTCTCTTGCTCAACTTTTTGTCGTGCAATAACGACAATGATGACGAGATATTTGCAAACTCTGGACCGCAGATGTATGGAGTGGGGAACGAACGCGCTTTTGTCCATTCCGGGGAGTAACGCGTTCACCACTACACCATGCGAGTCCTTCGCTTCGCCTTCTCTCAACTTCTTCTATTGATCATTTGCCATCAGCAATCACTGATCTGTTTAATACTTTTTCTAACATTTGGTCGATCTGAACCTACGTAAAGATGCTTTCAAGACAAAAACAACGCAGAAATTTTCTTGGATGCACTAAAATAGAAACAACTCGAAACGTCATCACAACATGAGCCATGGTTGCGCATCTGACCACACATAATGTACAGATGCTTCTTATAGCTTCATGTTAGAAATATTGGTGCTCGCCACCATTGGAGAACGAATCTATAGAAGAAAATTGGAGCTGATCTTCTAAAATTACTCAACAGAATACAAGCTCGATATTAATCATTCACAAAGCATCCGTTTTTTTAAAACAAACAACGACGAAAAAATAACCACGTAACACATGAACTAAAATATCACCGAAAATCTCTGTCTACTCGGCACTTCTTCAGCGCTACGAGAATTACCCATGAGTGCCGAGATGAGTGCCATAAATACTGTGGCCTAAAGATGTAACAAGTCCGTGCCGCTATCCTCCTAAACAAATCTGGTACCAATTGGCCGACTCCGAAAAAATGGAAGGTTCAGTAATACCAATGCGCAGGATCGAACCACGGACTACGTGTAGATTGAAACGCGCCTCTAACCATTGGGCTGCATACGTCTCTTATTAATGGAGTAATCATGGTAATCAATGTTGTTTCTAAAGTCCCACCTACTAAAGCCTTGCTTGTTTTATTGAGGTTGATCGCTGCTCGAGCATGGGCCTACAACCAATGTTCAAAACATCCAAAAGGCTGAACAAGAAAGCGACACTTTCAAAACGATTGTTTCGTAGTGTGGTGAACAGCGTTCACTACTTTGTGTTGCAAGGCTGTTAATTCAGCTAAAGATTTAGCTCTTTGCTTTCCAGTTTTTTGAATAACGCCTGCAGAAAGTTTACCACATTTTGATACACATCTCATGCGGGAAACCAATGTAGTGGATCGCTTTTTTTTTTTGAAGGTCCGGTCCTACATGTTGTTCAGAGATAACTGTCAGGGATAACGAAAATGCGTCGTAGTTCCTGCAAAATAACTTTGTCCGTCTCAAGCAACATTTCCAGTTTTATGGAATAATTTTAGGGCTCATTGCAGGTGACTCCTTTTCCTTTCCTTCTATCTATAGTTCATGATTAATGTCGTTCAAACTACAATGAAGACGAGGATATGGTCCAGGTTTCAAGGTTTTATTATACTACACACGTACCTCAAAACTTAGAGGAGCAATACACATTGCATCGATCGTTGGTTCAATCCCGCGCTCCGGTTGCATTAAACTTTCCATCAATCCAGAGTCGGTGAGTTGAAAGTAGATTTGTTGGGAACTCTCTCTGATCCATAAAGATGGTTGGCACCTATAGAGGAAACCAGAAAACGCCCTGGCTTCCTCTGGAAGTCCAGAGGGATTCCACTCGCCAAGCCTACAGCGACATTTAGGAATAAGATGAAATTATCAAGTCACAACCGAACGCAGGCGTAAATCCGAAGATTCTCGTGGATAGCGGGTACGAGAGAATAATCTGAAGAAACAAGAGCTGGGAACAGCAAAATATGTGATTTCGAGTGAAAACTTTTGTCATTTTACATGACTCGTCCTCAGATACACTATGCCGATTCCAGCATTTCTTTCATTCGCTTTATTTCGACGCATCCATCATCCATAAAGTTCTTCGAACCTTTGCGTGTACTTTCAGCTACCACGTCATGACCTTGTCTCCTTTCCTTGGAATGCTGAAACAGTTCTACTACATACCACTAGGACGTTCCCAGGTCATCATCTTGGTACTTGAATGGTCCGTCTTCACTAGTTGTACGGGTTCCAGCATAATCTCCATTTTCCGGAGATTGGATGGTTAAGCCAATATTAAGCCATAATGGTGCACTGGAGTCCCGAAGTCAGCCTGGCCAAAGTCTGCACAAGTCTTCACCACCACAGGTAGTTGCAGCCCTTGTGTATCAGAAGGATATTTGCCACTATGCGACTTTGATACCAGGACGGTGACGGATCCTGGCATTGGTTTACTCCTAGCTGGCCTTCCTGCCTCGCTGTACATCGCAGCTCGACAATCAGTAACACCTCCCAGCCAAGATGACGGGGTAAGCCGTTGGAAGGCAGGTCATCATCAGAAATGAATAGAACTAAAATCTAACATACTTTCTAGATTTTTGAGCTAACACGAGGTTGTTGTGAAAGCATTTATTCGACTGACGTTTAGGCGCATTCGTCTTCTTCAGAGAAGCTTTCGTAGGAGTCGATGGTCCACTGTGGTCCGTCCTCGCGATATGAGTGTTCGATGTCGCATCGAGTCGGAACTTCAGGAGTTGGGCACCGCTCGAATGAAGCATCCACATTCGACAGCGCCATTTACACAGGGCAGATGGTTGTCTATTGTCATCCAATATGATTCCCTGATCTGCTTCCATAGTGGCAATGGTGGAAAGACGGTTTTTAAGATATAAAACGTTACACAGGGAAAACGTCTACAAAAGTTTTAAAGAATCAAACAATAAATCGCTATGTCCGTTCTAAAATCAGATGCTCAGAACACCATTTATTGCCATCATCACGGAAATGAAGAACAAAAGTCTCTGATTGTTAAAATTCCTTCTTAGGATTTTAATAATTTGCTCATTATTCAGAGCAGGCTTGATTGATCAAATGGAACGCTCCAAAGACGTTTCTTGGATTTTTCATTTATTTATATTAGGATTCTAAGGTTACAAAAAAGTTACTGATAGGCTTGTCGATGAGTTGCAAAAGTGTTGTTCGAATCTTTTTTTACATAACCCGACATCATATATTGCATGGATTCCAACAATTCTATTATATGGTTTGTTTTCCCTCATTCGTCCAAGAGGGCCTTCAGATTTGTCAGTAGGATAAGCCGTTACGTGAGAAATCTTCCTCTTCTTAAGAAATGTCGTTGAATGAGAGTGCGATGAATGATCGAGTCCATTCTCTCTGGAGTCCTCTGGTAGCCGTCTTAAACATTTTTTCTATCTCCATCAAAGATGTTCATCAACCTTCCTAGACCAGAGGGATTTTTGAAGAAAATCTGATACCAATTTTCCGCCTCCAGGGGAAGGGCTAGGCGTGGGGTCGAACTAGTGTTTTGGGTGTACATTAGAAAAAGAAAGCATGTAGAAAGCGTGTAGAAAGCATTTCAAACTATTGCATGCTACCTACACAGCCACCGAAACCGTTTCCTGGCCTAGCAAATTTCGGTGGAAGCTTCAAGCTCTCATAATAGTAGAAGGATAAGGCTTTGTGAAAATCATTTCGGATGCAGCTATTTTAATGACCTAAAGGTCTTAAATTTGCAAATTTTTTCCCGTTTCAAGCACTCCTTTTATACCTTTCAAGTCCTTCGTGTTTCCGTTAAAGTTTCAGGTTCGTGCTCTCTGAGTGGTTCTTAATATAGTTCAAATTAGCATATAACAACCGACTTTAATAATCGAGTAGACTGCACTGAAAAAATTCGACTCTGTAAGACGTTGAAAATATCACATTGAAAAGTCGAACAAATGTTGACTACTGACTCTGATGAAGACGAAGACGTCGAAACGTCGGCGGAATGCACTTGTTTGTCAGCCATATATTGGCTTGTAGGTGAAAAGGATAGCAAAGGATCAAAGGATAGTAAAGGCTCTCGGCGTTGATCAATCCCTGAGGGATGCGCCATGCATTCGACTTCATTAAGTATCGTTGGAGGTGATTGAATGCATACCTGGCTTTTACAATGACTCACGGTGGCCTACCGACATATCGAACAGATGCCGCTATCCTCCCAGACTAGTCTGCTGCAAGGATTTAGAGATCCTTGTAACATGAAAGTTTTTATCCTATTTACTAGGTGATTGAAAAGTGACTCCCTACTCAGAAAATCTTACAATTTACTTCATGATTAAAATTTTCCATAAAATAGATATGGAACAAAAGCGCGTAGCCATAGCGTATAAATGGGAGGTTTAATTGAAATTCGATGGGAACACTAGAATTCGCCAACAGCTTCTCAACCAACCTAGAAACCTCATCACCTGCAGGAACTCTTGTAGGATACAAGACATAACTTCTCGTCTCGTATACGCTCTACAAGCTCTTCCAAAGCCGTTGGCTTGGTAGAGAACACTTGCTTCTTTAACTATGTCCAAAGAAAAAGGCGCAATATATTAGGATTTGAACAATAGATCTCCAAAGTTCGCAACGTGCCACTATCTAAGCATGCCCTTGTAGGTGAGACGTTCACCTATGTTTGCAGGGCTTACAAATTTCAGACAAACAATGAAATAGAAAAAGAGCAAAGCAAATTTGTTTTCCACGAATTAAAGAACATGCACAAAATAATGTCGAAATGTGTTTTACTGCCCCCTTTTTTTGTGGCAAAGTACAATGTGAAATACAAAAACAACACAATAGGGCGGGTGGCGCAGTGGTTAGAGGCACCCTGAAACACACAGATGGAATCGTTCCCAGCGCTCATGGCTCACCAAGCCCTCCATCCCTCAGGGGTCGGCAAATTGGTACCAGACTTGTCTGGGAGGATAACAGCACTAGCTCAATACATTGATAGGCTACCGCAAGTCACTGCCAGATATGCGTTCAATCACCTCCGAGCGATGCTTAATGAAGTCGAATGCAAAGCGCATCTCTCAGGGATTGATTAACGCCGAGAGTTTTATGCTTTAGCTTTTACAGCGACAAAGGTTCTGAGAACGAGCAAAATTCGAAGCCACTTCAAAATCGCGATCACCTTTCAGGCGGCTCACGTGTTATCCGCTGCACCATCGAGGTGTTTCCTTTGACTTTCTCTCGGCGAGAAAGATATACATTGATAGAACGGTAGCGAAGTCTTACAGAAATTTCGTTGTATCGGCTCATTTTAGAGAAGTCTCGCCGCTGTGGGAATGAAACGTCTCCTTTAGGAATTCATGACTGCCGGAATTCCATGGCAACCTTTGTAATACTTGTAACACTTACAGTGACAAGAATTTTAATCCTAGTTAACAACTTGAAGTGTGCAGTAGGAAAACTGTTGATGTAACCTTAGTTCGGACGAGCTCGATTTGTAGCTCATAGTCGTCGACGGATGATTGCTGATGGCACTGTTAGGGTAAAAAACTTGGTAGCGAAAGGTAAAACAAGTGCCCCGGTAGTGCATTGGACAACATATGAGCCCCTGGAAAGAATTATCGCGAGTTCGAACCCAACTTTCGTTGCCAACTCTGCTGATATCTCGGCATAAGTGTGGCTGTAGTTCACATCGTAGCCCGCTATGGAGCAAGAATAAGCAGAAAATAAAAGTTGAAATATTGTGATTTGACATGTAGTTTTTCTTCGATAAGCTTACACGATGTTGCTATACAACTTTCACTCGCCTAACGTTTCGACGTCTTTGTCTACATCAGAACCGATAATCCTATTGCTTTGTATCGACGTATCAGGTCAGATCTTCTTAAGAAGACGAAGGCGACACCTCGAGAACCGAACAATTGTGTACCGTAGATTCGGATCATCGGCTCTGATGAAAACGAAGACGTCGAAAGGTTAAAGGATAAAGGATAAAGCTCTCGACGTTGATCAATCCCTGATGTATGTGCCATGCATTCGACTTCATTAGGTATTGTTGGAGGTGATTGAATGCACATCTGGCTTTTACAACGACTCGCGGTGGCCTACTGATGTATCGCTTCCCAGACAAGTCTGGTACCAATTAGCCGACCCCGGCGGGATGGAACACTTGATGGACCATGGGCACATGGGTCGATTCCGTGTGTCGCAGTGGCGCCTCCAACCACTGCGCCGTTAGAGCCCTGTCAAAACGTTAGCGGAATAAATATATTTATAAACCTTCTGTAAGCTCAACAACTTAAACACCTGAAGGCATAGAATTCTTATGTTTGCTGCATCAGACTAGTTCGTACATTCTCTACGCAATCATGGTACACTTTGACACCGTGTCTTCTTCTGAATTCTTTTCTGAAGTCTCTCTATAGTCCCCTCAACTGTCACCCATCCAGATAATTTGTTCCTCTTGACACCAGACATTCCTCATGAATTACGACTTCCTTCAAATGATTTGTAAAACTACACCTTTCTCCCTGATCTACCGGGCTCGACAGGAAGTCCATTTCTGTTCTAAGCACTAACAGCAGTATGGGCACTCAATCCAACCCCACTGCTGCCTGTAATCGTCCGCCATTCGAACACATGGCCAACAGCATAATGAGATCCTAACTTTTCAACTATAGACGATAAATCTTCGACAATTAAAGAACTTGAAGGGTTGGAAAGCTGATACAGTGAGAGAAGAGACTTCTATTCTCTATGATATATTATATTAGTCATGGTTCGATATAGCGACTGGAACTGTGTAACGGTATGGTCAATAAGTTCACCTGATCCACCTTGCCCTCCCACGCATGCAAAGCATCCATGACATCCCGGGCTACTTCTAAAGAAAAGGGATAAAGCTCTCGGCGCTGATCAATCTGTGAGGGATGCGCTATGCACACCCCAAAAAGCAACATTTAAGTCTGTACGTTTCGGACGAGTTTTCCTATTGTGCAATATAGCGTGGCAGGACCTTTAAGCTCTAATTGGCTACGGCTGAGTATTCAATGTTAATGCGTGTGTATGTCCGAGGTATGTGTATGTGTGCAGTGTAAGCTTGTTATTCGTTTTCTGTTCTGTGTGGTTACTGGTCGTGCTTCACTTATAAGGCTTAGAGTGGTGTTTTTGGTAGAGTGCGTTATCTTTTTAAGTACTTTTGCTTACGAATTCTATTCAGTGCGTGTCTTGTTTGCTCAAATTGCTACCACGAATTGTTTTAATGTCCAGCTTGGTGAAATTCGTCGGAACTTTCCCGTGCTCATATGCTTTATAAGTTGTTTTATATTGTATATGTCAAAGTATCTCTCCATTTATTTATGTGATCTTATAAACTGATCTTCTTAAGCTGAGGCGAGGTTGGTACAGGTTCCACACGTAACATCACGGCTCTGAGGAAGGCGAAATCGCCGGAACGTCAGCCATCGATCAATAACATCAAAAACAACCACAACGACAACGAAGACCTGTACCAACCTGGCATCGGCTTAAGAAGATCAGTTTATAAGATCACATAAATATATCATCTATGCCGAGGTTTATTGAAAGTCGGTCTTTCGAGTTATCTCTCTATTGTTTTCTTTAGCTCTAGACGTGATAGGGTAATTACGTCACATCTAGGAAGTTCAAGGATTTCTTTTCAGTGTTGTCTTAGAAAAATGCAAATTTTCATCAATGCTTTGGATGGACAGATTCACCGTCTTGAAGTGACTCCTGAGACCACTGTTGCACAAATTAAGGTTAGTCGTATTAGGACATTGTATTGTTTTTATTCATCATCTTCTGACTAAAGTTTGGTTTTCCTTACCAGCTTTCATCCACAGTAGTTGAAATATTTCCTTACCATCGTTAATCCTGCAAAACATTCCCGAATGGGTTTGTTATTTTAAGGGATTTATAGTGTAGTTTCTCTATACTCCATAGTAGGTTTATCCCCATGGCATAACTATTATATCTTGTTTTGTTACCAAGTTCCGAAAGCAGCAATTCACTTAGTAACCGCGAAGTAATTATAATTGGAAATTATCACTTGTATTTAACATATATAGAGAGGCTCAGTGGTTGGAGGCGCCCTGCAATACACACGTGATCGGCTCCAATGCCCCAGGTTCACCACGCTTTCCATTCTTCCGTGTCGGCAAATGGATACCAGACTTCTTTAGGAGCAGAGCAGGAGTCGATACATCGGTAGGCCACCGCGAAGTTGTACATGCATTCAGTCACCTCCAGCGTTACTTAATGAAGTCGAATGCGTGACACATTCCACAGGAACTAATCAATGCGAAGAGCTTTATCGTTTTTTTTTTTATATAGCGCTGCTGACATTGTTCATTTGCTTAACACATTCACCAAGGGGATGCCTCTATAGGAGTCAAACGAAGAATAATGGGCGCTTTCAAATTCAAATCAATATCTCTCAGCTCTTAATAATGAACAGAAAAGACTGAAGCTGTCGGCGTTGATCTATCTTTAAGGGGTGTGCCATACATTCGACTTCATTAAGCATCGTTGGAGGTGATTGAATGCATATCTCTGCTTTGCAGTGACTGCCAGCGGCTTACCTATTTGTCGAATCAGTGCTGCAATCCTCCCAGACAAGTGTGGTACTAATTCGCCGACCACAGGGATGGAGGGCTTGTTGGGTCTTGGGCGCGAGGACCGACTCTATATGTATTCCTGGACGCCTCCCACCACTTCACTACATGTGAATTTTATTAATTCTATTGAAAAATGCTAGGATCTGCAGGTTTTTGCGCACAAGATAAATGTTCTTTTGTTTTATTGCGTTAAAAGTCCTATGACACTTATTTCCTTCACTTCATTGTTTGAAAGCTCATGTATCGTTTCGTGGATAGAACTACTGCCTTTTTTTTTTTGAAATTTTTAGAACTTTAGTCTGCGCGTCAGTTTTTCCGACGTTTCTGTTCGAAACATTTTTAAATTTAGAAATACACTTAAAAAATTCTATCTGTAATTGGTGCAGTGGAGCAACTTGCTTCTATAAATCCATAGAGTTCTGAACTCTTGAAATGCCCCATCGATCGGGAGTTTGTCGTCTTGGGAGTTGTCAAAAAGTCAGTTTCGTCGAGAGTGTTCGTAAAGAGTGTAAAAACATTCGTCTTGAAGTGATTGTCGGCAGGAGGTTGCCCCTTAAGATATGTAAACTGAAGAAAAAGCTCTGCTATAAATTTGCTTTTATTCCATTTTGATTGATTTCAGAAACAGCTTGAGGCGGATGAGCATATTCTCTCCCATGGAAGCGCTATTCTGGCAGACTCTTCAAGCCTTTTGGGCCTTGATCTTACTGATGGGGCTACCCTTGCCATCAATGCTCGACTTCTCGGAGGTACTTCCGTACTTTTTTTTTTGATTTCCTTGCAATTGTTTCACTACTTTCTACTTTTCATGGTGATTCCAACAGCTCATGAACCGAATCAATCTTCTATCGTCGTTCTTATCTGTATCCTATCTTATCACTTTTAAATACTGGAGGCGATAACAGTGTAAGACTTCCTTTGAAGGTAATTTTCAGGCAAAGTCCACGGATCATTAGCTCGCGCAGGAAAAGTTCGAGCCCAAACACCTAAAGTTGACAAACAGGAAAAGAAGAAAAAGAAGAAGGGTTAGTATTTCTGTGGTATTCGTATTTCCTAACTCGTAATTTTACATTGAAAGTCTGATGCATGAGAACACTGTTGAAGGTCGAGCGGCACGACGAATCCAGTACACCAAGAGGTTTGTCAACATTGCTACCGGACCAGGAAAGAAGCGCGGACCGAACTCCAACCAAGCCTAATAATTTGTTTCTTGTTGGTCACCTGAGATAAATTGTTAGGCTGTTTTGGAAATCGTATCCTTGCTACATGTTATTCTGCTACAATATTTATAAATTGTTATCATAGTAAGTACTTGCGTAGAGTTGCAGTATATTTTTCAGCGGACATCGAGTTTTGCTTAAATGTAATGTCAGAAGAGCTGCTGCAGAAGTTTCTTCATGATATCGAGAATGGTTAGCATTTTAACGACTAATGGTTGATCTAAATAGGCTCCAACACCATATATAGCAAGAAGTAGTTGCGTTTCTGTTTGTTCGCACTGGGCTTTGTTGTTTGAAATAAGATTCGTAGGGGTTTACAGATCTTTGCTACCAGTTTTTCTATTTATGAAGGTGCAAGTGCAACTTCCTGCTTTCCTAGGATGTTCTCTTCCTTTTATTCATGGTGACTCATATCACAACCGATGAGCCGTCTGAATAAGCAGAGTTTAGTCGAGGGTCTTGTGCCCTGCGTTACATATGGCTGTGGTTACAGGTTTACTCGAAAAGTTTTAGAAGTTCAAGTTTAGTTTTTGGTTTTGTAACGACGTTGCTGTTAAACAAATGTTTGAAATATGTTAGAATTCTTAGAAAAGAAGAAAGACACCTTAGAATTTGTGCGTCTTCATGGCGATAGAATTTTTTAAAGTTGGTTTGAACTGTTAACTGCTTTGGTTACTGACAAATAGGCGGACGCCACCGAAAATTATGGGTCGGGCTGTATGTATTAAGAGTAGTTATTTTTATAATTTGGATGCAGCATGGATTCAGTTAAAGCAGTATGATGGTCACGATCTGAATTTCTTTGTTTTTCTTCCCAGTTTCTTCGAAGAGTATGTAACGATGTCTGGTTGTCGGCATTGAAGGCTGGCGTAGAGAGGTATTCTGTGTTGTAATTTAGTGTAGTATTGAGATAGGAGGACGTTTAATTGATCTCCCTGTGCGGTGAATACTTTTTTGGATCACAAAGTGAAAAGCATTCCGGGGTGCGTGTAGCGCAGTGGTCGAAGGCGTCCTGCAATACACATGGGGTCTATACCGCGGCCAAGGCTCACCATGCCTTCCATTCCTCCGAGCTCAGCAAATAGGCACCAGACTTGTCTGCAAGGATAGCAGCACTGGCTTGATACATCAGTGGACCACCGAGAGTCATTATAAGGGCCACTTATGCATTCTGTCACCTCAAACGATGCTTATGATGTCGAGCGTATGGCGCATACCTAAGGGATTGATCAACACCGAGGGCTCTATCCTTTATTCTTTTTTGTGAAGCGAATACTACAGTTCAGTTCAGAAGATGGTTTGTTGGAAAAAGTGAGACGAAAACGAACTAAAAGTGAGGTGCAACGGGACGAGGTGAAGCGAATCCTTGCTGCAGCGTCAAAGGGACAGGTTAGGAAGGACGGTGTATGTTGTACAGCTAACTAAATCTAATAACGTCTTCCATCTTAGGTGGAGTTGCCGCCTGATGAGCGTTTTATCGTCGAAGAATGGGGACAGCCAACGATTTCAGAACTCTCGGATAAGCTTGCCGCACAGGTTGGAGTACCAACAATTTTTTGTCTGTATAGCTTGCTCCTTGCTGAGTCTGATTAGTTTAAGTGTGATTCTTCCAGGAAGTCTAATTTGCTTTACGTCTTTAGTGTTTACCTAGAAATTCCAGGGGTTTTCTCTGGTTGAGCAAGTTCGTGCTGGACGACCAGCGGATTTAATGAAACGGAACCTAAGATATATGCACTACATGGATAAGAAACGTAAGCTAGATGCAGAAAAGGCGAGGAAAATTGTAATGGAACATCTTAGAAAGAAGGACACCAAGGAGATTGTGCGGAAAGAGCGGAACAAGATTACATGTGAGCTTATTCAAGTTCCTCTTTATAAATCTCGAAAACTGTCGGTGTTGATCAATCCCTGAGGGATTTTCCATGCATTCGACTTCATCAAGTATCGTTGGAGGTGATTGAATGCATATCCGACGCTTAGAATGACCTGCGGTGGCCTACCGATGCAACGAGTCAGTGCTGCTATCTTCCCAGACAACTCTGGTACCAATTTGCAGACCCCGGAGGAATGGAGGTCTGGTGAGCCTGGGACGAGGGGTTCGGCCCCATATGTATTGCAGGCGCCTCCGATCACTGCGCTACTCGCGCCCCCACAACTCATATGTACATCAAGGAGGAATTTTGACTGTATTTCTGAAATTAGAATCACCACAATTACCCAACACTGTGGATTGTCGGATGAGAGAAAGACGAAACGAAGGAGTTGCATGGTGTGGTGTTAAACACGTTGCGCCTACCACCCCGACTCCGAAAGGGTAATGATGGGTTTGATCTCCACCGCAGAGACCTGCAATCCGGAGTTTTGCGAATACTTTAGCATCACTGTGATTATATTCCGCATCATACTCTGCCATGAAAAAAGAGTAGACAGTAAATAAAAAGTGACTACACTGTGGAGTGTTTCCAGGTCTTCGGGAACCAAAAAAAGACATGAAGAATAAGAATGGTAGTATCTTCGATGACGAGGACTTTGCTGCTGTTGGAAAGAAGAAAAAGAAAGTGAAGAAAGCCGCTGAATATTTGTAAGTGGGATATCTACTCTATACATTTTGCTTGTTGTTGACTAATGGTTGCACTTGTTTTACTTGCTCTTTTTTCAGCGAAATAAACTTTTATTTCCTATTTTATAATGGCGTAATGGCACTAAAATATGTTAAAGATTTGTGAAGGTCTTCATGTTGCACTAAACAACTAGTCAAACACTGTTTCTCTTGATTGTTCCTCATGGTGTACTAGTAAAGTTTGCTGTGAGTTACCATGTACAAAACATTGTTTTTGATTCACAACTGATTTGTTGTGATGAAAGAATCATCTGTTCCAACATTACATGAATGGTACGTGTTGTGTACGGCATTAGTCTGTAACAAAGTTCCAACTGAAATGTAGAATTACGGGAAAGGAGCATTCTTCTCTTTTGTGTTAATAAGTTAGGTGTAAAAGGCTGAAATAATAAAGCTCTCGGCGTTGATCAATCCCTGAAGGATGTACTATGCATTCGACTTCACTAAGCATGGTTGGAAGTGATTGAATGCATATCTGGCCTTTACGATGATTTGCGGTGGCCTTCCGATGCGTAGAGCCATGGCTGGTATCCTCCCAGACAGGTCTGGTAACGAATTTGCGACCTCGGAGGGATGGAAGGTTTGATCAGCCACAGGCGCTGGCACCTATGCTGTGTGTGTTGCGGAGCTCCTTTGACTACTGCGCTACATGCGCTCTAATTTAGATGTAAAAATACGAAAAGGGACAACTCGTTTCTCTCTTGTCTTTATGAGTTAGCTATACAGTAAAGCAATTCTATAGAAAGGCTGATCCAGTGCGTTAAATAAAGGTTTACAACAAGAATTAGCGGTTACGAACGTCCTTAATAACTCGAACTTCTCCTACAATTTATTAGCAAATGTCATGGCAGTGATTTGGTCTCAATAGTAATATCGTAGTGACACTTTCGTTGTTTCGCTGTTCTGAATTTCGATCCAGAAGTGTTCGAAATGCATCCTGAAAGAAATCTCTTTGATTTGGTAGGAGACAAGGTGTATTAATTTTCCGATCTACATGACATTTACGATTTCCATCAATCGCAGAACGAAACGTGTAGTGCAGTACGCTTTCACAACTACTTTGCTACCGTTTCTTTGAATTCGAAAGTGTGTTAACTCACTTTGATATCTATGCTGAAGTACCACGTGTAAAGATGAGTTCCGCGAAGAAACGGTCTCTGAACGTTGCAGAACTCTTCGCCGTTCGTATTACCGTAAATCTACAAATGAACTTTTCTACTGCTTCATCATATTTTAAATGCAAATGCTGTAAACGAAAATCAACGGTTTGTGTTTATAATGCTGAGATATTTGCAAAACTCCGTACCACAGGTCCTGGATGGTGTGGTGGTGCAGTGCGCTGCTCCTCGGTAAGGACAACAGCGCGGGTTCGTTCCCCAACGCATACACCTGTGGTCCGGAGTTTTGCAAATATCTCAGCATTATATACGAGTTATATTTCGCAACATACCCTGCCATTAAAAAGATGAAGGCAGTAAATAAAAGTGTTAAGGTTCGTGTTTAGCTGAACTGTGGCGTGTCGAAGAAATTAGAAGCTGAGCAGCGGAGCGCTTTGGCACATCTACTCCGAACAATGCGAAATTCTTAGATTTGTAAGATGTTAACACCTACCTCGCTTGTACATCCCGAATTCGTACCATCAGCACAGAAATGAACGTTAAGCACAGTGTTTTGTCCACTAACATTGTACCTTAATACTGAATAGACGTAAAAGGTCGAAGAAGAGGGTGTAGTCATAAATTATAGAGTTCTCGGCGTTGATCAATCCCTGAGAGATATGCCATGCATTCCATTCAATTAAACATCGTTAGGGGTGAATGAGTGCATATCTAGCCTAAACAGTCTATCCTCTCAAACAGGTCTGGTACCAATCACCGGCCCGGAGGGATGGAAGGGTTGGTGAGTCATTGGCGCGAGGATCGATCGCATGTGTATTGCAAGGCGTGCCTAACCACTGCGCTTCATGCGCCGCAGTCATGATATGATATTGGTAGGATATGCATTGTCCGACATCGTTTTATTCATTATGGATTGTACGCTTTGCATCCCATTTTGCTGGACGTCATAGATGTTAATGAATGCATACTCGACCCATACAATAACTTGTAAAGGCTTACGACATTCCAAATCGTCTGTCGTTCCAGATGAATCTGCTAACAACACGCGGACCTCAGAATGGTTAGCGAACATGGTTAGCCCGATGAGCATGGCTGAGCCAACGATAAAGTGTACAGTAGGGTATCTCTAATCAATATGCTACACATGCTTGTGTATCGCCATGTTCTAGTTTTGTTCACATTTTGGTGTGTTGGTTCGGTTCATGGAAGAGTGATATAACTCAGTAACAGGTCATATGCTGTTTTTTTAAGTGAAGATGTCTTTACATCTAGAAAAGGATCACCGCTTAACTGGCCGTATTTCGAAGCGCCTGAAAATTAAAGCCATTAAATAGCCTCATAGAAGTTCTAAAGCAAGCTAAGCTATTAGGAAGTACTCACAGTTAGCAGCGGCAATAAATGGATGAGGTGATAGACTTCATTTCTATTCTTTTGTTATAATACTTTATTTTACACTACTATTTTGATTTTCGGCGCATGTGGCGCAGTGGTTTTTTCACTGTGACTGTGACACACAAGTGGAAGCGATCCGCACGCCTATGGCCCACCAAGCTTTTCACCCCTCCGGGGTCGACAAATTGGTACAAGACTTGTCTGGAAGGATAGCAGCACTGGTTCGATACATCGGTAAGCACCGCGAGTCATTATAAAGGCCAGATATGCATTCAGTCGCCTCCAACGATTTTTAATGAAGTCGAATGCATGGTGCATCCCTCAGGGATTGATCAACGCCTAGAGCTTTATCCTTTTTTTATTATTTTGATTTTTAATTCACTGTTTTGTAATTCTTAGCAATGGCTGAACTAAACACTCAGACTTGCTAATTAGTGCATAGCCGCCGTTTCTGCGATCGTCTCTGCATGACTTATAATACTTTGATCTAACAACAGAACAATGTCCGAGCAAATGATGAGACCTGCCTTTTCTCGACTGAGTTCTAGAAAATTCCACTACTTAGTGGGCGCTATACACGCAATGGTCAGCTACCGTATCGTAGTGAACGGTGGTGTTATTTGGTGTCGGACGGCTGTATACAACGAGGGATACCCACCAGCAAGTTCAAAAGCCGTTCTGCATTTCTAACCGAAAAATCAGCTAAGAGTGGACCAATGGATTCATAACCGTCCCTCTCGGTAACAGCCTAGTTGCGAGGCAGAAAATCTGCGTTATTTCCACAATGGGCGATGCTTCCTTGTTGTCTTGACAATATTTTGATACACTCTCTTAAAACTACTGAAGAAAAAACCGTTGAAAAGTTTTCTAATGTGTTAGGACCAATATGTCAAGCTCAAATTGACCACTCCAGAATATAAATGAGTAGGCGCTAACTTTACTTAAAACTCAGGATTTTTATGCGACGACCGACGATTTTTGACGAGCAAATTTCGCACATTGTGGATTTGCTTGACCTTTTGTACTGGAAACTGGCTAAATTCCTAGTGCGTATGTTTAGGACCAAAGTTTGTCAATATGTTTCTTTCACGTTAAGTCTCATACCTAGAGCTGTATGGTGAGGCCAATCTAACTGCGGTAAATATGGCAGCGTAGGACTTTATGGTATTGGATCTATCCGAATGCTGGATTAAAATCGCTAAGAAGGTCTAATCATTTTAGTTCATAGAAACGAGAAATCCTATGGCAGGTTTCCAGGTGGGAAGCAGAGGTCTAGAGAAGTTTAAAACTTTCAACTGTTTTTCTTCTTTAACGTGCTTTCTGTTTGAAGACATCCTTACTTGTATTCTTTTTTTGATGAGCTTCGAAATATCCTTATTTGTATTTAACCACTAGAATAAAGCTCTCTTTTCCTGAGGTCATTTTATTGACATTATTGGAATTTAGTCGTAGGTTCCAAACTAGTCTAATAGCATCAAAATGTTGGTAGGCGCATAACTATAGTGATACTCGAGATAATAGACATTTGAAAATCATTGCAAAACCTGTAGCCGACGCAGAGCATATAGTCGAGCCACTCAGGTTCCGTTTTATGGTACCTGCGACCACCACCCAGGATAATGTGTCTCAGCATCGCTGCCTTCTCAGTAGATTTACTTCTAGAATCTGAAAAGTAGTCTATAGGAATTCAAATTTTATTGCCTAATTTAAGGATAAATTTTGAATTGCAGGCGAGTGTATGCCTTCTCGTGTGCCATTATGCTCATTCGATGCTAAGAATACTTTTTTTTGCTTTGTGTGTTTACAACTTTATAGCTTTTAAGCCTTTGTAGAATTCTCAATAGGGTCATTTAATCTACTGTGATCATTTGCGCCAAACCTTCTGCATCAAATACGGGGGCACCGTTTACTTCATTTTCCAAATAACTATTTTTTTTTAGATGGAACGAACTCACTAGCATTTTGAAGCTTAAGTGTTTTCTTTGTGTTCCCCTTGCGTTTTGCCGCGACTGGTGCAGAAGTGCTGCCTACGCTTCGAGGATAACGTTTTTCACATCTGAAATTTTCGGGCTAGAGTCAAAATTTTTTGGATTGATTCCTTATTGCAGGCCAACTCACGCACTTTTCGTGGCATTCTTCTTTCGTAAGGAAGTTATTGCCACTTTTACCACAACCAGTGTAATGGAAACCTTTGCATTGTCGTGTCCGCTTGTTGAAGTAATACCTGAAACGCCTCATAAAAATGCCTGTGAAATCACCGATAGAACTAATGAGATGTAGAATTTGTTTTAATATTCATAGTCTATTAAGTTCCTCTTAACGGTTTACCGTCTCATCTTGGCTGGACGATGTTCCTGGGTGTCGGGTAGCAGTCTCTGGGCCTCCTAAGCTGAGAAGGAGTCCAGCTTTTCCATCAGGAAGCACAGCTAAGAGTAAACCAATACCAGGATCCACC